CATTTGTAGAATCATCCTGAATTGGTTGGTGAATTATGGACTTGTCCATTCAATGCACGCCACTTGATGAGAAAACATGAGCTGTCCCATCACATCTCAACCTGTGTGGACCGATGCTCTGTTAATGACTCCTGCGGTAAGCTCTGTTTAACCCCTTCACCTTCATCATGTTGGGTTATTGCAGACACACTCCGTGCATAATGAATGCTTAATGTTCAATGGCAGTGGCCAGTGACAAGACTGATAGCAAGTTTCAAATCCCAGTGAGCACCTGGACTGCGCCTGTGTGTGATGAAGACTGGGATGAAGGTATCACATAGATCTGTATCCTGAGTTAATGGCAAATTATTATACCCCAAAGATAAAATTTTGCACTTGTCAATGTGCATAATATGGCCATTTTAACATTGGATGGTGTCTGTGCCTTACAGAGGTGGACAAGCATGTAACATCAGCGCCATCTTTTGTCTGGGATGTGTCCAAATCACTTCCTCAGGACAGGTCAGTATAGAGCTAACTTCACAACAACATTACTGAATCATACGCAGTAGCATTTAGGATTCCGTTTTTTCATAGTTGCCAATGGATCCTTTTGAATTTTCAATGAAAACAACACAATTGTGACAGCACATCTCTCTTTGTATTAGGGAAAACCCCAGCACTTCCAGCAATGTGATTGCTGGTCTCCGAGCACCACGAGTTCTTCCCTGGATGAGCAGCAGTACTGATTTTTGAGTTTTTATAGTGTGTCAACCGTGTCAAGAATATTCCTGTACAAATGACATTGAATCCTGATAGTGTTGGTTGCTTGTTCTGGCATTTCTTGTATAGGGTCACTAGTTCTTGCAGTGACAAATTAGTTTTCTAATCTTCAGTTTAGTTTCCCAAAGGTGGAGCAGTAAAGATGGTTTAGGTTCTTAGCTGTGTTTACACCAAACAAAAGAAAAGCTTACGACCAGGATATACAGAATACAAGACTTTAATTGATGTGTTTTGTGTTGTCATAGTTGCTTTGTGCCTGTAATTCTACCTCTGTGGTC